GAGATCAGCAGAACTGTTTGAAGGAGTATGGGAAGCAGGGCCTTCTTGGTTTCAAAGGGTGGGGCCACAGCCTCCTAAGTTTCCAAGAGTCAGATCTTCACAACTCTGTTCTGGAGTGTGGGGCTGCTGTTAAGGTGTGGCAAAGGGATGAGGCCACTGCCCAAAGCGGAGGGGTTAGGGTTGCCATGCTCAAACAGCAGAAGAACAGGGCCTGCTGGGGCCGAGGGGGTGGGGTCACCACTCAGATGGACTAGGAAAATGGGGTGGCCTAAAGCCAAGGGGGCTGAGTTGCCGTCCCAGAGGACCTGGAAGGTGGAGCTGAAGCCCAGGGCCAAGGGGCCTCCACCCAGAATCCAGAGGGTGTAGCAACACCCACAGTTTGGAGGGCAGGGTCATTGCCCAGATGGTCTGAGAACAGAGGAGTAGTTTCAAGTCTTGAGAACCAATGTAATTTGTTCTGCTTGGTTTTCAACTTGCTTGGTGGCTGTTATCCTTTCTTTCCCCCCAGTTTCTCTCATTTGTAATGGAAACGTATATCTTGTGCCTGTTCCATCATTGTTCTTTGGAAGCCCATAACTTGTATTCTAGAATCACAGGTTCACAGATGAAGAGGAATTTTGCTCCAGGATGGAATATGCCTAAAGTCTCACCCGTATTTGATTTAGATGATTCAGAAGATAAAATTTTGGACTTGGAGTTGATTTAAGACTTTTAGGATGATATGATGGGGTGAATGTGTTTTGCATGTGGCAAGGACATTAATTTTGGGGTGCCAAAGGGTGAAATGTTATGAATTGAATTATGTCCCCCAAAATATGTGTTGTAAATCCTAACCTCTATGCTTGTGGTTATAATCCCATTTGGAAATGGGTTGTCTTTGCTATGTAAATGAGACAGAGTTAGTGTAGTGTATGTCTCAAGCCAGTTTCGCTTGAGATATAAAAGAGATTAAACAAGAAAGTAGAGACGGGGTAAAAAAAAGTGCCAAGATACATGGATATCTCCAAGGAACTAGGAAGCAGAAGCTGAAAAGACCTTCCTCCAGCGTTGACAGAGAGAGAAAGGCTTCCCCTAGAGCTGGCACTCTCATTCGAACTTCTAGCCTCCTAAACTGTGAGAAAGTAAATTTCTGCTTATTAAAGCCATCCACTTCTGGTGTTTCTGTTATAGCAGCAATAGGTAACTAAGATGAAAACCAAAAACCAAACTCATTGCCGTCGAGTCGATTCCAACTCGTAGTGATTCTATAGGACAAAGTAGAACTGCCTCATAGGGTTTTCAAGGAGTGGTTGGTGGATTCGAACTGCTGATCTTTTCGTTAGTAGGCGAATGCTTAACCACTGTGCCACCAGGGCTCCAGATAACTAATGAGAGACCCGCTATGTAATATGGGTAAATGATGTAGACACGCAGTTCACAAAAAGGATTATAAAGGCCAATAAACATAAGACAATATGTTCAGCATCACTAAGTTAAAAAACTGGAAATAAACATTAAGTGTAATTTTTGACTTCCAGAATGGCAAAGATTTCAATGAATACGAACCCAGGATAAAATTTGGTTGAATTCCGTAGGAGGCCATGACAGGACATAAACAAAGAGATACTAACACACAGCAACAAAGACCAAGGGGGAAAAGAACCATCTCAGTGGAAGAAGCTTGGACAGAGAACAATCAAGGAGTATACAACATACTACCTTTTATGCTAAGATGCTACATAACCTCTACAACACAGAAACAATACAGGGAGAAAGGAAGGAGAAGGCTGAGCATTAAACTGGATATCAAACTGAGTTGGTTTGAATTAACAATATTAAGTTCTCTTATACCAAGAGGAAGTAGGGGCAGGAAAGCTAAATTTTATATATATGTATGTATATGTGTGTGTGTGTGTTTGTGTATAAATTCAATATATATACGTGTGTATGCATACACACATATACACATACATACAAACTGTCTTCATCATAAAATCAACAACTATTTAACAAGGAAAAGTAGCCAAATGGAAATGTAGCACTCTATAAATAAGCAGATCAGTAACTAATATAATCATGGTAGGTATTAGACTGAGCAATATGAAATTGTCAATATTTGAGCATTTAGTCTCCCAAAATGGCAATTTCTTACAGATTAGTATACATGGAAGGAAGGAAGACTTGCCAACCTCACTGAACAGAATTAGAGACATTGATTTTGCCACATGTACTTGTGGGAAAACTTGGTACATGCTAAAAAGCCCAAATCTTTTTTCTACTCTCTTTAAATTTCTCTATGTGGTCAGCTAGAAGGTGGCAAGATTTTAGATGTGAAATTTAGGAAAAAATGGAAAGAATTCTTAGACCTAAAGAGTCCTGATTGGCGATTGTATACAAGAAGTGATTGCCCTTGCCCCAGCTACATGGGGGAGACTGATGACACAATGCCTTTCAATGGTTCCATATTGTCTATAAGGTAAATTCTCAGTTCTAATGGAAGGCATATAAGCCTGCCTTCACTCCAGCCCCATTTCCTACTGCTCCCAACCCCACTGTGTCAGAGATGGTCATTGACCCACAAAAATTAGTGCTACTCTTTCGACTGTAGAGTTGCTCTGGGAAATGACTCCCAGCCAGAGACCACATTTCTCAGTGCGTCTAGATGGACCGTGTAAGTGGATCTGGCCAATGAAATGGGAGCGGAGTGGTGTGTGACAGTTCTGCACGGAAAAGCTAATAGTATCTTCTCTTTCTTCCCCCAGTCTACTGGCTAGATATCGCCAGGATGACGCTGAAGCCACAAGACCAAATCAAACGAGGCCCCTGAGTCACCATTTGGAGGAAAGCTACCCTGGAGTGTCACCAGACCAAGATCTTCTACACTGAACTTGGCACAAGTGAGAAATAAACTTTCATTTTGTTAGTCCCTGATATTTGGGGGTTGTTTGTTACAGTGGCATAACCTAGCCCGCATTAATACTCCTACCCTTTAATATTCAGAATTACTGCCTGTTCCCTCAACTTATCAAGTTGTTTTCACTTGGCCTTGTTTTGTAATCTCTGTTCTGTCTACCAAGAATACCTTTTCTCTTTTCTACCTGACATACTACCAAGGCTCAGATTACTGTTGTTGTTATCTGCCGTTGAGTTGGCCCCTGACTCATGGCAACCCCATGCACAATAGGATGCATAAAGTTTCAATTGGCTAATTTTTTGGAATTAGATCACCAGGACTTTCTTCCTAGTCTTTCTTAGTCTGGAAGCTCTGCTGAAACCTGTTTAGCATCACAACATACAATCCTCCAGTGACAGACAACGGTGGTTCGGCTTGAGGTGTATTGGCTGGGAAGTGACCCCAGATCTCCCTCATGGAAGATGAGAATTCTACCACTGAACCACTACAGACTTCTAGACTCAGATTAACTGACACCTATACTGTGAGCCTTTCTCTGACTTCTATGGGCTGTTTGCTACCACGTTTCCTCATTCCATAGTCTCTACAAAACCATGTTGACATAGTTATTTTCTCAAGAAATTGTGAGCTCTTACAGGGAAAATGTTAGCCCAAGAGACAAAAGGGCCACATAAAACAAAGACTCCATCAGCCTGAGACCGGAAGAACTAGATGGTGCCCAGCTACCACCAATGACTGCCCTGACAGGGAATACAACAGAGAGTCATTGATGGAGCAGGAGAAAAGTGGGGTGCAGAACTCAAATTCTAGTAAAAAGACCAGACTTAATGGTTTGACTGAGACTGAAGGGACCCTGGAAGACATGGCCCTTGAGCTCTCTGTTAACCCAGAACTAAAACCATCCCGAAGCCAGCTCTTCAGACAAAGATGAGACTGGACTATAAAACATAAAATAATACCCATGAAGAGTGTGCTTCTTAGTTCAAGTAGATACACGAGACTAAACGGGCAGTTCCTGTCCAGAGGCGGAATGAGAAGGCAGAAAGGGATAGGAGCTGGTTGAATGGACACAAGAAACCTGGGGTGGGAAGGGGGAGTGTGCTGTCATATTATAGGGATTGAAACTAGGGTCCCATAACAATATGTGTATGAATTTTTGTATGAGAAATTAACTTGAGCTGTAAACTTTCACCTAAAGCACGATTAAAAAAAAAAAGAAAGAAATTGTGAGCTCTTTAAATGCAGGCACTACGTCTTATTCTTTATGTCCAGAGCACTTAAACGGTGCTGGGCGTATGGTAAATTCTCAGTACATGGATTTCAGATTAACCCACTGCAGTTGAGTCGATTTTGACTCATAGCGATCCTATAGGACAGAATAGAACTGCCCCATAGGGTTTCCAAGGCTATAATCTTGACGGAAACAGATTGCCACATATTTCTCCCGTGGAGCAGCTGGTGGGTTAGAATGGCTGACATTTCAGTTAGCAGCTGAGCACTTAACCACTGCGCTACCAGGATTAGGCTATGTGAATTGGGGTGTGAGGGTTCTCTGGTTGCATCCCTTACTCCATTGTTGATTGCAGGGTGTAATTGGTCTGAATTGGATTAGAGGCTTTGCATTACTGCAGGGATAGCCATTTAAAGTGGCACTACTCTTGAAATCAGTAAAACATTTAAAAGCAATTCATGGTGTAAAGAAATGAGCACCTAGAATTTATCTTTTGCTATTCACTGAAGGATAGTGGAAAATTAAAAGCTTTCTTGCTTTCTAAATGTGTGTTTTTAATGGCTGTGGATCATGTTTAATATGTGCTTTGCTTGAAAGACATTGGAAATTTGTCTTCCTCAGAGTTCTGGCCAGAGACATTCCACAGCTCCTTTGGTTCGCTGTAAAATTTGGACTTTTTTTTTTGAGGGGACAACGAGGAAATTAAAACACAAGTTCAAATGAAATGGGAAGTGCTTTACAGGAATATTTTATTGTCTCTGCCTGAGTTTCTAATATAGCTTATAAAGTGAGAACACTGCTTTGATAAAAACAGAACACTATTGGTTACAAAAAATTCTGTCCCTCTTTCTTCAAACCCATTGAAGGCGAAGGTCCTCAGTGCGAGGGGTTGCTGACGATGGCTGTGGTGGAATAAGAGTAGGGACTGAGCAGAGCTGTGATGGTGTAATGGCGGTGCCCGGAGTCGTTCGCAGTGAACACCGCCTAAGAGAGAACACAGACAGGATCTGTTTCTAACAGAGCCAAACAACACACGCGTAGTAGACATTGAGACCAGTGGAGACCCACTGCCAAATTAATTTTCAAATTTTATTATTTTATGTTTTGGAACAGTTTGCCAAATATGCTGGCAATTTAAGCCCTTGGGGCCAGGTGCATTGGAAAAACAGTTCTTCACTACCACCTATATAGTCGGGTCTCTTGTTTTATAAATTCACACTGAAAATCAAGGTGGCCCTAGCCTGACTGACGGAAGTCACAAGGAGCCAAAATGCTCTTGTCCATTTTCTCAGTTTGCAGACAACTGAGGTTTTGGAGAAAGGTGGAGGAGAATGTGGAAACTGGCATTTAATGAACTGGGAAAATTGCTGAGAATGGTTACCTAGTTCTGCCAATACTACCTCAGACTTAGAGACCTAGAATTTTAGAACTGGAAGGGAACATTGTTCCCATTTTACAGATAAGAAAACCAAACCCCTGAATTAGTGTCTTGCCCAAGTTTATACAGTGACAGAGCCAGACTAGAAAGTAAGGCTCCTGTTGTTAAGACCAGAGGCACCCTCCCTGCCCCACTATTTCTTTACATTTTCTAATATGGAGAAGAACAAGAATATTTTTATGTATATAAGAAGCAATGAAACACAGAGTAAAAGCATTTTGGGTAATGGTTAAGTGCTTGGCTGCTAACTGAAAGGTGGGTGGTTCAAACCCATCCAGCAGCTCCAGAAAGGAAAGATGTGACAATCTGCTCCCATAAAGATTACAGCCTAGAAAACCCTTTGGGGCAATTATACTCTTGTCACATGGGGTCACTATGAGTCAGAATCGACTGGATGGCACCTAACGACGATTTATAATACAAGTAGAATGTGGAAAATCATATTGGAATTCTGAAACATACACAGTTGTGTTGGAGATAAATTAAGCTTTCTGGTGGGTAAAATTGTTGTTCCAGTTAATCACACACTTCTGCCAAATTGAGTAGAGCTTCTAAGACTTGAGTGCTGGGATAGTCCAGGTGCCCAGAGTGAGGTCATTTGGGACAAATTTGGTTCAGGAGAGAGATGGAGGACAGTAAGGTGTTTAATTTTACTTTCGTATATGCAGGCACTGGCTTGATCTTTGGACACACCCTGGATAAGTACATTTTGTTCCAAATATAAAAAAGGAAATCTGGATTCCTTGGGGACAAGAGAAAAAAAAAGCTGATGAAATACACCAAAAGAAAAACAATACTAAGGCAAGGAGAGGGGAGAGTCACCTAAGAATCTTTCTGAAGGAGAAAGGGCACTCCTCAAAGGCCACAACTCTAGAAGCTCCTAGGGGAAATTTGTTATTTCTTAGGGTGATACTGCCTCAAGTTCCACTTAGTTATCTAATGCTGCCATAATAGAAATACCACAAGTGGGTGGTTTTAAAGAACAGAAATTTATGCCCTCACAGTTCAGGAGGCTAAAAGTACAAATTCTGGGCATGACTCTAGGGGAAGGTCTTTCCTTGTCTATTTCAGCTTCTAGGAGCTGCCAGCAGTTCTTGTCTTTCCTGGGCTTATAGATGCATCTGTCTCCTTCATCTATCTTCCTCCTCCTCCTGTGGGTGTCTCTGGGTTTGTTCTGGCCTCTTAATAACTCATAGATGATTAGGTTTAGGATCTACCCTACTCCAGTAAGACCTCATTAACGGAACAAAAAACCCCTTATTCTAAACAGGGTCATATTTACAGGTACAGAAGTTAGGATTTTAACATTTATTTTAGGGGTACACAATTCAATCCACAATGCATTTACTCTTCCTAAAAATTGTAAATGGCATAATCTGTATTCAAAAATCCATGAAGTGAATAGGCCTAATAATTCCAAAGGAAATTTTCTAATTTTCCTCAATAAGTCTAATATGGCCACCTTCGTCATTGGCCAAGAAGGCAGTGACTAGCACTGAAGGATAGCAACTTTCTGGGAGACACTCGTCAGAAGGAGCTGACAGGAAGGAAAGGAACTCATGGCTAAACCCACCATGCACCAGTCACCAAAGCGAGGCATCAGGAGTCACATTTGACTATTCACTCTTTCAGTCGCCATATCTCTTCAGGCTGCAGGTTAGGCTGATGATTCTACCTAATATGTCCTACCTCAATCCCTTCCATTCCATTCCAAGGGCAGGAATGGGTTTTCACCTCTAAATCTTCAGTGTCTAACACAATGTCTGGCACATAGACAGTTTTTATTTTTTTTAAAAAATATTGAATGAATACTAAAAGAATGAGTAACAGACAAGGAAGCCAATATCTAATGAGTAGAAGCAACGTGCCATGGGCAGTACAGCTGTGAATCTTTTCAGATGACGCCAGCAGGCTGAGACCAGGGTGGACAGGGTCCCAGGGAGGCTGATCCAGTACTCTAGGGGCTGAGACTCTAAGGACAAATGTCTTGTGGTGGGGGCCATCTAGGTCCTGCACCTGCCCCAACCTGGCCTCAATGTCTTGCTGCCAGGCTGAGAGGTAGCCAGCAAGATGCTCCTTGATAGATGGGGCTCTCTTTGTGACATGGGGCCTCACAAGTCAAATAGACCTCTATGGTTTCCCTGGTAACACAGTCTCCTAAAAAAACACATTTTCTATCAGTTGAAAGTCTCATCCATGACTAAGCCAGAAACAGTGGTTTAGTCCATATCGAGTTATTTTTGATATAATTAGTTGATCTCTAACTCTGGCCAACATGTTTGGATTCTATTTCCATGACAGCCATCTGGTTTAAATGACTTAAGGAAATATAGGCAAGAAGGAAGCAGGGAGACTGGGCCCATGTTGAACTGTTTGATTTTCTCTATTACCTCATTGGTGTCCCTGGGTGGTGCAAACAGTTAACACACTCAGGTGCTAATCGAAAGATTGGAGGTTTGAGTCCACCCAGAGGAGCCTTGTAAGAAAGGCCCATCAATCTACTTCTGAAAAATCAGCCGTTGAAAATCCGACGGAGCAGTTCTTCTCAGACACACATGGGGTTGCCATGAGTTGGACTCGATGGCAACTGTTTGGTTATTACCTCATAAGCACAGGAATAGAGTGTGAACCAAGGGTTACAAATGCAACTTTTTTTTTTTTTAGCTTGGTTTCTCACAGGGAGAAAGCTTTGTGATGTACACCTGCTGAGGCTAAACCCATCCTGGACCCCATTAGTAAATATTTCTGCCCCACATCCTTACTAATCATATCACCTTTGACAAGTTGCTTAACTTTTCCGTGTCTCACTTTCTTCATCTGTAAAATGGGGATAATAATAAGACTAGTCTCAGTGGGCTGTTTATGAGGATTAAGTGGGTTAAATACAGAAAGGACTTATAATAGTGCTTGACATATGGTGTATGCTTGATAAATATTATCTGTTGTTGGTATTATTTTGAATGCACTGCCTCTACTTGCATTGCCAATGACATAAAGTAATGCAGGTCTCCAATTGCTTATCCAAACTTCTGGAAGGTCTTGGAATGTGTTTTGGAATTAAGAATTTTTCATATTTAAGAAAAATAAAATAGTACATCCACCTTGGATTACATAACACCCTAAGTGAGGTCTGGAGGACTGCCTTATAATCAAATGTATTAATATTTCTTAGGCAAACAAACATTCATATTAAATGGAATGAATAAAAATTATAAATGAAGTCAGGTAACTTCAGGTCATGTTAGCAAATGAGTTTTCCCAAACTTAGGGAAAAAAAGAAAAAAGGCTTGCTTTTGGAGTTTTGTGAATTTCCGATTATAAAAATGGGAGTGGGGACCTGTGCTAGTTCAGTGCTTTCCTGTGGCATTTTCATGGTATGTTAAGTGCAAACTATGCATTTCCTAGGATTAAAAAAAAAACCCAAAACAAAAAGCCACAAAACAACTCAAATGTCTCTCTCATACGCTCACCTCTGCATATTCATGGAATGGAGAAATACCAATTTCCTTCCAGTAGGATTTGGTGTCCAATTCCACTTTGTATACCCCTTCTACAAATTTCTCATCTGTTGTGAGCCCATGGAGCTCTCCAAATTCACTGGTTTTCCTAGAAGGTGCAAAAAATAGAGGTTAATTAGTATAGAGGCACTAAAAGAATAAATAGCATGGTGAAGTGACACAAGCTGTATATATATAGATATGTAAGTATAGATTTTATATATATATATGTCTTAAGGAGCCCTGGTGGTTCAGTGATTAAGCCCTTGGCTGTGACGGTTTGAATCCACCATGTGACAATCTGCTTCCGTGAAGTTTACAGCCTTGGAAAACCTGTGAGGCAGTTTTAGTATGTCCTATAGGGTCGCTATGAGTTAGAATGCCCATGGAAGCAGCAGTCAAGAAATCAAATGACGTATTGCAATGGGCAAATCTGCTGCAAAAGACCTCTTTAAAGTGTTAAAAAGCAAAGATGTCACCTTGAGAACTAAGGTGCACCTGACCCAAGCCATGGTACTTTCAGTCACCTCATATGCATATGAAAGCTGGACGATGGATAAGAAAGACCGAAGAAGAATGGATGCCTTTGATTTACAGTATCGGTGAAGAATATTGAATATATGCTGGACTTGCAGAAGAACAAGCAAATCTGTCTTGGAAGGAGTACAGCCAGAATGCTCCTTAGAAGCAAGGATGGTGAGACTTCGTCTCAAGTATTTTGGACATGTTACCAGGAGGGCCAGTCCCTGGAGAAGGACATCTTGCTTAGTAAAGTAGAAGGTCGGAGAAAAAGAGGAAGACCCTCAATGAGATGGATTTACCCAGTGGCTGCAACAATGGGCTCAAACACAGCAATGATTGTGAGGATGGCGCAGGACTGGGCAGGGTTTTGTTCTGTTGTATGTAGGGTCATTATGAGTCAGAACCGACCCAACGGCAAGTAGTAACAACGTGAGTCATAATCGACTCAATGGCAGCAGGTTTTATCTATATATCTTAAGTGTATATATAGATATATATTATCTATATAGATAGATAGATATAGATATACCTTAAGCAAGTCAGAAGAGGGAAAACTCTGAAATTCAATGACAGAAAACTTGTCAGAAACTTTTCCCAAAGCTCATTGTAGATTTTTCCTGTATGAGAGCATGATATAGGTATAATGCTTCATTTAAAAAAGAGTAATTGCAATTCAGGGTTGGTGACTGGATTTAGGTTCATGACTATCCCTGGAAGTGATCAGAAACTGCTGAATCTGCAGCTTCCTATGACATCGAGTCTTGTCTCCTCTTCCCCATGGTGTGAGTGCGAGTTGCAGAGGTGGTATCATTTGCACACACAGTGGGAAACCCAAAGTACAATGAAGAACTCCTATCAGACTCTTTTGTATATTTACCCTCTTTGGGAACTCTTTGCCAACAGCAAATACTAGGCAAAATCATTTCTATGTAAGTACCAGCTCAACAGCTAAACATTTGAAACGGGTCTCCATTAGGCTGTAAAACCTAAACCCGATAAAAATGGAAGTTGTCTTTTCTGACTCTGGCCATGCCCCACCTTCCTCCTTGTTTTCCAGGAAGAAAATATTTAACTTTAACTTCTTTTAAGTGAATTTACAAATAAAAACTCAATTAGAACCACACCAAAGAACATGGTCTTCCCAATGATGGATGAAGAATCAGAATGCGTCTCAATTAAAACCCACAGCCATGTTTCACCCAGGAGATATAAATACTTAGCAGCTTCACTTCTGCCATGTGCTGAGGGTTTCTTGGTTGCTCCTTCTTTCAGTTAGTTTGTTAGGTTTACTAATCTGCGTTTTCTTTGAAATTCTTGCTAGGAGAGATGGAAAAACTCCACGAAAATTGTAAAGCCATTGATGAAGTGAACCGTCATTTTTGTATCTGATGTTGGGTGAGTGCAAGATTAGTCGGCGGCTATACTTTGCCTCATATGCCTTTGTCTCCCTCTTCTATGCCATTTCTTATTGAGCTCCAGAGAACCCAGTCGTGCACACAGTAGGTGCTCCACCAGTGTTCGTTAGACAAAAGCCCTGGTTTCTTGATGATCCAAATAGACTACAGACAGGGGCTTTGTCAATGCTGTCCCTCAACTCCTTACCTTTCTTTAATAAATTAACACAAATTGTACATCTTTCCTAAAATTCTAAGACAGGGATTCTTAGCTTGGGTTATATGCGAGGACACAAGGACATCTGTAAAAAAATGACAAATACATTTTTGTATGTATATGTTTATATGCATTTTTTCTGGGCCATGGAGTCCATAGCTTTCATCACCTTCTTAAAGTGGTCTATGACCCTAAAGGGCTGCGAACCACTTCTACAGTGGAGGAGTTCTTGGCTCCTTCATTTCCCCACTATGCGGTTTGCCCTCAACTACTAACCTAAAGATTGGCTGTTGAACTCACCCAGCAGTACTTCAGAAGAAAGACCTGGTGATCTGCTTCCTTAAAGACTACCCAAGAAAACCCTGTGGAGCAGTTCTTCTCTGTAATCCATGGGGTCTCCATGAGTTGGAATCAACTCCATGGCAATGGATTTGGCTTTAAATTTTGTTTTTTCTTTTTCGTTCCCTAAATGGGGCTCAGGTTCCTGGTCACCTCCCAGCTAAGCAAAGCAAGAGGAGAGCATTCTCCTCAGTGCATACTTTACCTCTGGCGGCATTTTCAATCTACTTGTAGATTCCTTAGTAAACTATCTGAGCCTCTGTAACAAGCGGTGGAGCAAACCAGAAAATAAAGTGAAAAGCCTGTGACAGGGTTCATCTGGCTTCTTACCCATCAGCAAACAGCTCCCAGGTCTGGTCAGCAGCCTTTTTGAACACCCTCACAGGCACGTTGACGGCAGGACTGCCCTGGACAGCATCCAGGACTTTGATCATCAGAGGGCACTTGGATTCCCCAGTGCCCTGGGCAGAGAGAAGACGAATGAGAAGTCAACAAAACTGCTAAGAGGGAAACGATTTATTCTTTGTGTTGTTAGAAATCTGGAAGGAGGCAGGAAGTACACAGTGATCCCATTTCCAGCAACATAAATGATGGCAATTAATGAACTTCCCTACTCAGTATAACACAGACATAATTGTTCCCAAAACAAGAATAGTCTCTGCCTCAGAGCATGCTGCTATCACCCTGGGGCATGTATAATGAGTTATAAAAGAGAAAATAGGCCCTAGAGAACAGTTGCTTTGTTAAGCTTCTCCATTTGCATGGAATTACTAAAAAAGATGTAATACGCCATAGGACCAAACAGTTTTTCCTGAGAGCATTTTAGTCAGTTGTTTCTGTGGTAGTTTCCTCTTGCTGTTGTTGCTGCTAGGTGCGTGGAGTCGATTTGGACCCATAGCGACCCCGTGTGACAGAGTAGAACTGCCCCACAGGATTTTCTTGGCTGTGATCTTTCCGGAAGGAGCCTTGTTCGTACAGTGCTTAAGCACTGGGCTGCTGACCGAAAGGTCATTAAGTCAAATGGTTCAAACCTACCTGCTGCTCTGTGGGAGAAAGATGTGGCAGTCTGCTTCCTTCAAGATTTACCTCCTTAGGAACTGTATCGGGCAGTTCTGCTGTGCCCTATAGGGCCACTGTAAGTCTGAGTTGACTCAATGGCAACGGTTTTTTTTTTTTTTTACGAGAATCTTCATGGAAGCAGATCGCCAGGTCTTTCTCTTGCAGAGCAGCTGGGCAGGTTCAAACCACCAACCTATTGGTTAGCAGCCGAACGCTTAACTATTTGCGCGACCAGGGCTTCTTTTCTTCTTGCTAGTTGTAAAATAGTGTCAGACTACTTCATGACCAAAGTTATAGCATTTGTTAATTCTTCTAGGGGACTTAAGATTTGATCTCCGACTCGCATGTTGTTGCCAAGCATTTCAAAGATAATCAATCAATACATTTTAATTAGCTAGAGGGTCAGAATATAATCTCATGCAGTTTGCCCTGCAAATTAACATTATAAAAGGATGTTTTTCCAAAAATTCAGTGTGAATTGCCTCATTAATATCACATCTCTGTTTCTATCATCTGTCTGAGGAAATTGGGACACTAGGCATCGCAAAGAAGTCCCTGGGTGGTGCAAATGGTTAACATGTCCGGCTGCTAACCACAAGGTTGGTAGTTTGAGTCCACCCAGAGGCACCTTGGAAGAAAGGCCTGCTGATCTACTTCCAAAATATCAGCCACTGAAAACCCTATGGAGCACAGTTCTACTCTGACACACATGGGGTCGCCGTAAGTCAGAGTCAGCTCGACGGCAACCGGTTAAGGTATTCCAAACTCAACGCACCACAGCAATGGGGGAGAACTCTCAGAGTCCAACCCCAGTTCAGGAAGCTCTGCAGAGCTTCATCCCTTCTTAGGTTTGAATCAATGCTATTTAAAAACAGATGCTGGGTAGCCTTACCCCCTAGTAACAAAAGCAGGTTGGCAAAGCTGAAAGAAGTCACTTTTACTTTGTCCAATGGGCACGTAAAGATTATGAAAGGGACGTTTCAGAATCAAACACTCACCACGGTGCCAGCTTCTGACACAAATACCAGTCCAGCAAGGCAAAGAAGGAGCAGGCGATGAGAAGCCATCCTGCCAAGAACTAGCGGGTTTCTGTGACGGCTGCTCCCAGCTTGGGGGTTTTATACTCACTTCTTCTAAGCCAGGCTGCTTATCCCTGCCAATCTGACTCCAAACCTGCTGATTCTGATTATTGACTTAGTCAACAAAGGGAGAATAAGTAACCCACACAAATATGAACCTTGCCTAGAGAGATTAAAGCACCGGAACATTAGCTCTATGAAATATTCTTAACAGGTCATTTGATCAGCTAGATCACCAAAACAACATAAAAATATTCTTCTTCCTGCTTGGTTGGATGCAGTGATGTTCTTGGGATTCTTTTCTTCCTTACCTATTTGTATGCATGTTTTCCATTTAACATACGTTTTGTCTTTCATTTTAGATGATACATGCAAGTTGTAATAATTCATTTCACATTTAATGACATTTGGTGCATAAGCTTAACTATAATTGCGTTTCATATACATTCATGAGTCAACAAAGAAAAACCCTTGGCAGTGCTTAAATTTTAAAAAGCCTGTTTTAGCCAAACTAAGCCATTTGGAAGCTTTGCTTAGTTGGCAATTTCTCCACATTTTGTGTCTGTGTGTGTGTGTGTGTGTGTGTGTGTGTTCTTCCCAGATAAGGCTCATCCCAAACCCAAGGAATAATGTCATAATTCCAACTGGCATGAATTAGCCCGAAATAAAGACAATAAAATTTTCTTTGCTGTTTCTCCTGCATTGGGCTTGCAGAAACTAGTCTGTCCAGCTGGCTTTTGTTAGAATCAAAATTTCTGGAAGGAAGTAGAGGTGACTATGACAACTAGAAGCCATGACTGACGACGACTTCTTTTCTTCTCAGCAGACTTACAGGTCTAGAATTTGTAATTATTTCCTGATTCATTGATCAAGTGTCAACTCTCATGTGTATGCGTGAGCATGTGTGTGCGATTTTGTTCAGTACGAACCAAAACCCGTAGCTCTTGAGTCGATTTCAACTCATAGCAACCTATAGGACAGAGTAGAACTGCCCCATAGGGTTTCCAAGGCTGTAAATCTTTACAGAAGCAGACCGCCGCATCTTTCTCCCTTGCAGCAGGGGCTGGTGGGTTCGAACCTCCAGCCTTTTCATTAGCAACCAAGCACTTTAACCACTGTGCCACCAGGGCTCCTTAATTAAGACAGTTTTTTGTTCTTATAGAAACAAATATGTAGAAGACATAGAAAATTTAGGTAAAATGTCAGATAAATACATGTTAAGCCTATATCGTCCATGAGATAGGGAGTGGTGGAAGGAACAGGAAGGTATTCCAGGAATATGGAAATGTGTAGGAAAAGACTTGGGTTGAACACAAGAAAGCAACAATGTTTGCAGTTGAGAGCATAGCTTGAACGGTATCAGAGTCTTAGAGTCTGACTACAAAGGAGAATTAGAGTTTTGAACTTGAAGTTAGATGACCTGAGTCACCCCATTCCTAGTTCTGCTGCCCAGTTTCCTAGATGACCCTCCGTAAGTTAGTCAGTATCTCAGATACTCAGCTAAGACATTTGTAAAATTGAAATATATACTTCTCTACTTCAAAGGCCTGTTCTGATAAATTAAAAAATGAGATGCTACAAAGCCTTTTGTAAAGTGTAAACCACTATTCTGACGTAAAGAATGTTGTTCCTGGCTGCTCTCGAGTTGCCGCACTCCACACGCTGCCATTCTCCCCACCTTCTGCTTCCCCCGACTCATGGCAACTCCATGCACAGTGGAACAAAATGCTGCCCAGTCGTGTGCCATCCCCACGATTGGTTGCCGATTGGACTTTTGTGATCCATGGGGTTTTCCATGGCTGATTTTTTCAGAAGTAGATCGCTAGGCCTTTCTTCTAAAGTGCCTCTGGGTGGCCTCAAATTTCCAACCTTTCAGTTAGCATTAACCATTTGCACCATCCAGGGCACCCTCCTTGTTGGTAGCCCCGGGCATTCCTTGTTTCTTGGTGATCCTCACGTGGCATCTGTCTTCCCCTGTATGTACTTGCCTCTTTGTCCAGTCAGCTTTTTTTATAACTCAGAAGTGATTAGGTTTAGGACACGCCGTACACTGATTATGACCTTGTTAACATAACAAAGAAAACCCTATGTCCAAATGGGATTATGTACATCCACAGGTAGAAGGATTAGGATTCCAACACATGTTTGGGGAGGGAGGGCACAATTCAGTCTATAATAAACCTAAATATGGAAGTCTAGATTTATCCCTGATAAATCTCATCCTGTTAGTTTTAACCCACCACCCATCCTACTGATATCATTTAATAGTTGATTCTGTAATTCACTGCATTAGCTCACTCTCTAAGCCTCAGGGCCTTGGCCACTCTGACTACCATGCTTTCTGAGCCATCATTGATCTGGAAATCATTAATAAAATGTGAATTTGAACAACACAAGGAGGTGAAGAAAAAGGGAGGCAATTCAGAGTACCTCGAGGATCCTGAATCTGATTGGAGAATCATCCATAAGCTTTATAGAGGTGAAGTATTTTGTTGTTCTTGTTTTCCTTATAAAAGGAAGAGAAAATTTTGGCAGAGCACTCAAGCAAATGTAGCAAGTCTGTAGTAAAAGTAAGACAGCCCAAGGAGAAGTTTGCAGTGTTTTAGGTGAGAGAAGAAAGAGTAAGGCTGAGGTAGGAAGGAAAAAGTGAAAAAGAGATTGGGAATGCTTTCTTTGCCAAATTAATGCTCGTATGGAGCAAGCGGCAGTGATAAATAGAAGAAAGGTCTCAGTGCTTCTTGCGTGGTAGGCAATGTGTGATGAGTAAAGGTCAATATGGATAAACACAGACTCTCAGAGATAAGAGGGGCTGACTTTCCTGTGTTTATTTGAATTTGTGAAAGCTTTTTTAGAAAGATCTTTGCATGGGATCCACCAAGCAGGATGAATGAACAGCAAGGGTCACCACAGTTCTGGAGTCCTAAGTGGTTGCTGTAGATACTGTGTGTTCAAGAGCGCATATCAACAGCAGTAAGAATCCAATGCCAGAAGAAAAAGGAGCGTTAGTGTGACATTTAAGCTACAAGAGTATGTCTTTTCTTAGCCATATACTGTTCTTTTTTTTTTCACATTCTGACCATGGGGCTATAGCCTAGATGTTTAATCGAGTGACAAAGACTAATTTGACGACAGTATTCCTCCTCGTAGTGCAGAATATGTGGTAGTTAATGAACAACTCAGGCCTGCTCTTAGGTTAAGCTTCTTCTTTCTTCTGCCTTACAATGGATGGGCTTATTTATTTATTTTATTTTTTTATATCATAGGTAAATCCTTTCTTCTTCATTTATTTTCTGAGGGTGCATGTCAACTGGTAGCCAGTGATTTGTTGACATTCAAGCTGGAAATAATATTATTTCAGATAAGGTGATTAGCTAGAGTTGGGAGTTGGCTGGCCAAATGTTTGGACTAGGCCTCATAGGGGAGGGGGCCCATAAAGGTGGCGGGGTTGACAGTGTTTTGAGCCCTGGATCTTTGCAGACTAAGGAATTCAATTTTGTCAGCTCACCTTGAGGTGAATAAGCCCTGGGAGTTTGATTAATGGTAACCAAATTATAGAAGACTCATTTAAAATCCATAATACCAATTTAATTACTCATCAGATGGTTGCTGGGTGAGCAAATCACTGGGGCAAAGGGACTTGGTTAATTTTTTGAGAATATTGCATCCCAATTACCAGACAGCCTACAAAGAAAAGTTTCCTTACTTTACCATAGAGTACACTTTTCTAGTACACAGAATGTTTGTGTCTGCCTGTTCTAGCATGTCTTTCCTGCAGGGATTGTTGAATAAACATTGAAAAGGCCTTTGACTTTGTCTCCCTTTCTTTCATTGTCCACATAGACAACTATCCAAGTAAAGGCAAACATTACCTAGGATATGTTAACTAGACCCCATTTTATTTTTCAGCATTACCTTTGTATATAATTTTTCCATTTGTTTAACTTAATAGTGGCATTTCAATATAATTTATTTCCCTTGTAATCCATTCCTCTGTAATTTTTTTCCCACTTTTTGAGGAACCGCCAAACTGTTTTCCACAGTAGCTACACCATTTTAGTTTCCCACCAGCAATGTACAAGTATTCCAGTTTCTCCACATCCTTGTCAACACTTGTCATTTTCTGTTTTTTTTTTTTTTTAAATAATCTCCATCCTAGTGGGTGTGAAGTAGTATCTTATTGTGGTTTTAATTTGCATTTTCCTAATATATTCTGGATAGTAAACCTTTATCAGGTATATAATTTGCGATTATTTTCTCCGATTCAGTTGGTTGTCTTTTCAAGCTCTTGATAATGTCCTTTGATGCACAAAAGTTTTTAATTATGATAAAGTCCAATTTATCTATTTTTTCATTTGTTGCCTGTGCTTTAGTGCCATATTTAGGAAACCATTGCCAAATTCAAGGTCACCAAGATTTTCCCCTATGCTTTCTTCTAAGAGTTTCATCTCTCAAATTTAGGTCTTTGATCCATTTTGAATTAATTTTTGTATATGATATAGGATAAGGATTCAATTTTATTCTTTTGCATGTGGATATTCTATTTTAGGATCCCTGTTGAGAGTCCTGGTGGCTCAATGGTTAAGTGCTCGGTTGCTAATCAAAATGTTGGCAGTTCAAACCCACCAGCTGCTCCACCGGAGAAAAGACCTGACAATCTGCTCCCGTAAAGATCACAGGTTAGGAAACCCTATGGGGCAGTTCTACTGTGTCCTATAAGGTTGCTATGGGTCAGAATCGACTTGATGACACATAACAACAGAAACAACATTCTGTTTTCCCAGCACCATTTGTTGAAAAGACTGTTGTTTCCTCATTGAATGGTTTTGACACCTGTCTTAGGCTGGGTTCTTTAGAGAAGCAAAACCAGTTAAGTGTATAAATATGTATATAGAGAGAGATTATATCAAGGAAACAGCTCATGCGATTGTAGAGGCTAGAACGTCCCAAGTCCGTGGATCAGGGTAGAGGCCTCTCCCAAGTCACACAGC